AAACCCTGACTGTATTACAAAAAACAAGTGTCGTTCACGACGTTGGGGCTTACACCCGGGACACCTTATTGTAGGCTGTCTATGTAGGACTTGTACTTAGTATAGGTTCAATGTAAGAGGTTAGTATTATTTTTTTTTTTAAATGGTTTAACATAATTAACGTATTATTTTGCACTCATTTCATATTAATATTAATATTTTTTTTCACTTGTTGTTGTATAACATCCAGGTATTAAAGCTACAGCTTGAGCACCACCATTTTTTCACTGCAAAACTTGAGTACAGTCTGCCATTGTTTCAACAAAGTGGCTGGACATATAAGAAAATTTTATTCAACATTCGTTGAAACAAGGTTACTAATCGCGTTTCAACGAATTTTTATGTTTTCATAATGTGTAACAACGTTTTTAAAAATTCGTTGTATCAAAAATTTAATTATACTTCGTTGAAACAAGGGTTCACTGTAGTAATTCGCTCTTTGATTCTCTTACAGTTATAGTGCGAGTCACTTAGTCGCTGGAACTTTTTGTGTCATGACGACAATTTTAAGAAAGAATATTCCAAAAATGCAATAAAAAATCTACGATCACGCGTTTTAAAGATCGTAGTGCAAATTTTATCCAAATATACACCACCTAAAAGGTAGTTAGTTAGTTGGATGCAAAACATCCTAGAATTATTTTATACAATGACGTAGTTTTTCATAAAATAGACAGTCTATTTTGTGGCCAAAAACATATAAATAGACCAAAAATAGCAAGGGTTGAGGAAAGTATAGTATTCGTGATTTGATTTTTACAGTGTGAATAAAGATTTATATGTTTTATTAGATAATTAGATAATATATGCAGTAACAACAGTACATCAATTATAAAGCGAAGAGATGGTGAAGCATTTTTGCGGAAAATGCATGGTCCGGGAATTCTGCAAAGGGCAAATGCCCTCGCAGGAGCATGTGCTTCTCCATGTGGAGAAGAAAGAATTTTATATATTGTACTTTTTGGATGGTTTTTTAGCAACGTTTATATATATTACACTTTTTTTTTTTAGATAGGAATCGTGAATGTTAATTATTATCTTATAATCAACATTATTTATATATGAATATTTATTGGAGAAGAGATCAAGATTAAATAATTAACATTACTTATATATGAATATTTATTGGTGAAGAGAGCAAGATTAGATAATTAAGAGTTAAACAGAAACAAAATAAAAATAAAATCAGTCAAACCTTGTTATAACGAATTTTAAACATTAATATTAATATTAATATAAAATCCATTATAACAAACTTACTATGTATACAGTCGCGTTATATATTAATAATAAAATGTTAAAAGCTCGTTATAATATAATAATAATAATGAAACGTAACACGAATTCAAATGATAATAAATAGAAATAGAAATAAAATTTAAATTGACCCGAAATTAAAGGATTCGGCCAAAATATCTTCGTTATCGTTTAATTCTGGTAGCATATGTAAGGATTACTTAAAAAAAAAATTTTTTGAATAACTTATTTATATATTTATTGATTTATGAATTATTAGGAATATTGTACCAATTTTTATGTATATATATATTCAATAGGTAAAGTGGATAATTTAGTCATGATCCAGAGAGCATAAATAATATTAATTAATTATTTTTATTATCAATTTTTTTGTATTAAATGAGATATCAATGATATCAATGAATCTGACCGGAAACTTAATTGGACTTTTACCGATAAATTCCTCAATGTGAGGATTGATTTAAGTGAAGGATTGTTTTTCTTAACCGCTAACTATTTAAGCAAAGTGCCGGACTTTTTACGTTGCAGGTAAAGGAAAAAAATTATTGAATTTGTATATAATATTAAAATCATTTATCAGGTTACTGATTTTTATGTGTGTATATATTATATTTAATAGGTAAAAGGAATAACTTGGTCAGTTATAAATTATAAACACATTTATTTGTGTATATTAATTATATTTAATGGGTAAAAGAATAACTTGATTGGTTATATTATATTTAATGGTTAAAAGGAATAACATGGTTAGTTATAATTATAAACACACTTATTTGTGTATATTAATTATATTT